TGTGCATAAGGTCGCTATGAGTCGGTACCGATTCAATGACACCTAACAACAACAACAACAACCATGAATGCTGTTAAGTGTGATGATGGGGTTGCAGTTGACTCACAAAATTTCCATACTTTAATAGAGCTGGACACTGACATCTTTGGACACAATTTATTACTATATGTGTAGTTGATAACTTTAGACTATTTGAGGGATAGTTGCAAATCCAGGAGTGTGGTGGCTCCTTATAATAAGCACTGAACTTTGAACCACAAGGTTCGAGTCCGCCAGCCGCTCCATGGGAGAAAGATGAGACTCTGCTCCCTGGAAGACTTAAAGCCTCGGAAACCCTATACAGCGTTGCTATGAGTCAGAAAGCGTAACAGTGTCAAGTTCACCCAAAACAGAAGACAAAACCAAACTTCCTTTTTCTAATTAACGCTATTTCTGCTTCTCTTGTTTATTTCCCAGCCCCGACTCCCTCATACACGTGTACTTTGATTTCCTTTTCCTGGAAGAAAACGTCCGACAAGGTGTCATTTTACCCCAAAAGATTTCAAAATGTAGTAATTCACTTTAAAATACCTCAAGCTGATATGTGTATGTATACATGTAATAGCAAACATGGAAAATGTTAAATCTAGACAGTTTGCCCAAAATATTTAAAAACATTGTACTTCTTTGCTTTAACCCTCCATTAAAAAAAAAAAAAAAAGGAAAAGGAAAAAGTGAAGAATATGGTAACATGTTGACTGGTATTCATTCATTGAATCTGCTCATAAATCACCTAATATTACTCACAAGTAAATTTGAATTCAATATGTTGGAATTTACTTTAAAATACTTCATGCCCCAAATTTTTAAAAAACAAAAAAAGATAATAAGGTAAATACAGCAAAACATTGACGTCTGTTAAATCTACACCATTCACCTACAATTATTTCAGTACATTGTAATCTACTTTAAACAACTTTGTTGTTGTTGTTGTTAAGTGCCGTTGAGTCGGTTCTGACCCAAACTTTATGCCCCTAATTTTTCTTTTTAAAAAACAGAATATGACAAAACGTTGACGTCTGTTAAATCTACTCCATTTAATTCCAAAATATTTCAAGGCATTGAAATTTGTATTAAAAATAATTTCTTGCCCCAAATAAGGGAAAGATAAAGTGAATAGGTCAAAATTTGTTAAACCTACTCCACTCACCCAAAATGATTTTCACTATGTTGTGACTTATATGCCCCATACAAAAAGAAAGGTAAACGAATATGCTAGAATGCTAACATTAAATCTGGTCAGTATTCTTTCTGGTTTTCTGTATGGTTGCCACGTCTCATCATCAGAACTCCAAAGAACCCCAAAGTAAAGAGGGGTCTGTCCCCCAGCTGCACCCCAGCCCCCACCCTGGTCTCCCAGGCCATGGTCGGTGGTGGGCACGTTGCAGTAGACATTTCCAAAGTCTCCACGAAGTGTTGTTGGTGCTCCGTTATTAATAGCAGCGGTTGTAGTAGTAGTGGAAACGCGAGTGGAACAGGCGTCAGGCGGTGAGTCACACGCTGGCCCAGACCCCGATTCACATCTCCTGGCCTCCTCGGGCTCCAACCTTGCGTAAGGCTACGTGCCTCTCGGAACCTCAGTTTCCTGCTCCGTAAACTGGGGATAAACTCCCACCCTTTTGGGCTGCTGGGAGGATTCCGTGTAAAGCCCACAGCACAGGGCTAACAGCAGGTGCTAAGAACTTGAAAATACTCCCGCTCCACAGGGTGTCCTCCCTCCCATCTGCTCTGCATGGGTTAGGTCCTGAGTCCGAGGGAGGAGGGACTGGGGGTCAGGACTCCCGGGTCTGAGGGAGGAGGGGCTGGGAACCCTAAATCCTGGTCTGGGGTGAAGGGGCCTGAGGATCAGGACTCCTGGGTCTCAGGGAGGAGGGGCTGGGG